ATTTTTCTAAAATTGGTCATTGATAATCATCGGCAGATTTTCAAATAACATGTACACCGGATGCTTTACTATAGCCCCGGATGCTTTACTATAGCCTCACTTGTATTGACGCTAGGGTAAGGGTCAGATAGATAAATCAACATCATCGGCGTATCGTCAGGCATCACTAATCATCGCACGACTTTAACTATACAGAGTTCGCTTGCAGAGAAATGAAGATTAATTATTATGAATTATCTAGCCAATCAATTTTAAAATTAAAATAATATCTTGTTTGCATTAAGCTTAATACTGGCCAAAATTTGGGCGGGTATATAAGTTTTTACAGCATCCGATATTTATTTTAATAAAATTATGCCCACTTTAAGTACCATCAAAATCAAAATCAGAGAAACTTTTTTTATTTTCGATATATAATTAAACATGGTAAAAATGCGACACTTATTTGTTAATTTTTAAACAACATTACTTTATTTACTAATCCCGGTTTTACAATATTAAAAAGCCCATCTTGATTTTATACACTGTTCATAGAAAATAAAAATAATAAACTTTTTAAAAAACATAAACGGTGAAAAATTATAAAAATTCATGAGCAGTTTAACAATTAGTTTGACCATATAAACTAGTTTAGTTAGTTCGATGATGATTGTTACCAAATTATAGAACTGGTTTAGAAAATTTTAAATACAATATATTTTTAAATAATTTAAATGATATAATTTATTCAATATAATACATAAAAAAGATTTAACAAAGAATAAAAAATAAACAAATATTCGTTAAATATCATTTGGAATATCTATACCAGCGGATTTACTAAGATTTAGTTTTGATAATCTTTCAATAATTTCCAAAGTATTAAATGGTTTACTAGTGTATCTATTTTTTAGCTCTTTTTTAATTATTGTATAATTTTTGTTAATCTTATCACTTTCTAAAAACTGTTTTTTAATTTCATTTTCGGAACTTTCATTCAAAATTTCCAACCATTCATTTAATTTAGTAATAATTTCATTAGTAGTTGGCCATTTTTCTGGATTTGAATCCATGCATCGATTTGCTAATTCAACATAAGGAGTTCCAATTCCAAAATTTGGACGCAATCCTTGACAAATCATAATTACAAGATCTCTATCAAATTCATGACTATCAAAAGGTCTCTGCCCAGTTGTTAATTCTACCATGATGATTCCAAATGAATAAATATCTATTGCTTGAGTGTACACTTCTCTTTGAAAAAGTTCAGGAGCGATGTAAGGCAAGACACCATGAATATGTTCTTCATGTTCTTTCTCATCAAGTGGTTTTGATAAACCTAGATCGGTAATATATGCTACGTAATCATCTTTTAACAAGATATTTCCCGGATGTAAATCTCGATGTAAATATCTTTTATCATGAATACGATCAAGATTAGATATAATATCATGAAGTAATGTTTCAGGCGAAATTTAACTATTTCGCCCAATCCGAATCCGAAATATAGGCGATATTATTTTCGCCTAGCATTTAAATTTCCGATATTTCCGATAAACTCTGTAATTGCCCAAATACGAACTTAATCCGAAATTGTCCGAAATTGTCCAAAACTATATTAAACACGTGACGTGAGTCAAATCTGACCAATAGTATTTTAGATATTCAACACTACATTATCTATGATAATCTGTTCCCTACATATTACATATGTACGTACATATCGATTAGATCAGGAGTATGCATGCGAAGTTTATTTTAACTACCATATTAGTAATTATAGTATAATAGATTAAACGTTGTATAAAAGGGAAAATATTAGTAAACCGATTCTTTTTCTCAATGAAAGTAGTGAATAAAATATATACCTCATGTTGAGCCGAAGTGAAAGTAGTGCGTTGAACGATGAAGGTATCGAAGTGAAGGAGTGAGGACGTTAGTATCAAAGTGAAGTAGTGTATCGAAGTAAAAGGTGTGAAGATATTAGTATCAAAGTGGATAATACGATATAGCAAAATATAAAATAAAAGTAAAATCACCTTGAAAAAATAAATAATTTGACCTTGAGCTAAATTTCAAGCGGGTGTTAGCTATTATTAATTCTAGTAATGTGTGTTAAAAAATCAGATTCAATAATGGATGGAAATAAAATCTGCACATTGTAATTGAATGAATTCCCATTTGATAGACTATATTTTCTGTAGTTTAGTTGAACAGTATCAGATTTATGATGGTTATAGTAATTAGTAAAGAACTAATAATGGAAATCTTTAAGGTATATTAAATTAAACTTCTTTTAAATATTAAAGCGATTATCTGATGTATATTAAACTAGAGCTAACTTTAGTTTATAATATCCTATTTTTTATTTGAATATTTTAAATATTCAAAGTTTAGATATGCTTGAATGTAGACATTAATGTACCAATAGATTTTGGCTTGAATTTGCTCCTGGGACCTCAAGTGCTACATTGAACTAGTCAAACCGATGCTTGAATCCCCGATCCACAAGATTGGCTTTATTGCGTAATACTTTTTTTTAGAAAAATCAAATGTATGATGTAAATATACCGTAAATGGTTCTACTGTCAAAGGGTATGACTATTTACACATGTATGATACCTTATTATTACTATCTGTCATAAACTAACGCTATTCAAATTATTTTTTTAGAAAAAATGTATGATGTAAATATACCATAATATCTCTATTGCCAAAGGGTGGGTCATTCGCACATGTATGACACCGAATTATTATTATTTGTTATGAACTAACGCTAAATTATTACTTTTTTTTTAGAAAAATAAATGTTTGATGTATACATACCGTAAATAGCTCTACTATCAAAAGGTAAAAGTCTATATGGCTATTTACACATGTATGACTTCTTATTTCACTATATTAAAGAAATCTAATAAATATCTTAAATTTTAGCTCAACGTATTTTTTTAGAGTTTAACGATCAATTATAGAAAATGACTGAAAATTCTGATAAAGATATATCTCCTATTGTTTCATCTGATACTTTTACTTTATCTGATACTCCTACTGCTTCATCTAATACCCCTACTACTTTACCCAATACTCCTGCAAAAAAAACAAGTGGAAAACCGAAATCTATCATATGGGGAACTCATATTAAGCAAGGAAATCAAATTTCCAAGGGCCATTGGAATGCAACATGTAACTATTGTAGCCAGTTCTGGTATAAAGGTTCTCCTGCTGTTCTCAAAGACCACTTAGGCAATTTATGTAATTATGTACCACCGGATGTTTGTGATCTATTTCTAAGCCAGTTGGCATCAAAGGCACTTGAAGTTAATACATCAAATTCGAAGAAAAGAAAGCTTAGCAGTCAGTCAAATCAGATGCAGCTTTTGGATTTTATTGAAAGTACAAAATTGACACCAGAACATATTAAGGATATAAACAGAGCATTAGTGAAGGCATTTGTTGTTTGTGGAATCCCATTTCGTATTGTTGAGAACCTATTTTTTATCGAATTACTAAAAACATTACGCCCAGCATACGAACCTTCATTCAAAGATGTCTTTTCTGGCTGTTACTTGGCACAAGAAACAGCGTTTGTTAATCAGGTGGTTATTAAAAAATTAAGCAGTTCAAAAAATCTTACTATAGATAATATTATTTATTTATAATTATTACAGCAAGTGCTAAAGCTTTATTAGTTTTATTATTGCTTGGTGTTTTTTTATTTTATTTATAAGACATAATTAAACTTTTTATTTATTAGCATGCAATGGTTGGAGCAATCCCTCTAACGATTCTATTTGGAACTTCATTGTATATACACCGGATTGTTGTCAATATCTGTGGTGTCTTCGAAATTTATCTAATGAAAAACATACCAAGGAGCTTTTAGCAGAAGAACTTACAGATGTTTTAGAAAAAATTGGACCTGAGAAATTTTCAGCTGTCGTAACGGACTCAGGTTCTAATATTAAAGCTGCACACCATATCATTACAGAACAATACCCAAACATTTTAAATATCCAATGAATTTCACATGCTGTTAATCTTATCTCAAAGGATGTTTGTAATACATCATTTGCAAATCGTATGCTTACGTGCTGTAATACCATTGTTAGCTATTTTAAAAGAAATCACCTTGCAGGTTTGTAATTTAAATTATTACTGTATATTAACTAATATTATTTAATGAATATTATTAAATAAAATATTATTAATATATAGGAAGCACACTTAGGGTTCTAGCTGAAGAAAATTCAGTTAAAGAAGGAGGACTTAAGCAGTGGATAGATACCCATTGGCATACTATGTATGATTGTGTATTTTTTATTATAAGACATAAAGTGCCTTTAGAAATAGTAAGTTAAAAATATTATAATTTAATACTTTTTTTTGTTAATATTTTATTTTAATATTTATTATTATTTATAGATTTGTAATAATGACACTGTAAATGTTTCGATCCAATCAATACTACGCACAAGAGCATTTTTTGATGATTTGAATGCATTGGCATTTGTACTTCGCCCTATTAAACTAGCTATATCTATTTTTGAATCATGAGATTGTTCACTAGCTGATTGTTTTGTCAGTCTTGTTCGTTTGGAAGCAGCAATTAAGAGACTTCTGGAGAATGATTATCATAGTTTTCGTCAACAAGTGATTACAATATTTAATAGAAGATTTGCAGAGTTTGATGATGATGCATATATTTTATGCTTTTTTTTTACATCCTGGATATACTGGTAAATTATTATTTCTAAATTTAAATTTAATTGGTTTAAATTTAATAAAATTTATATTATTATAGATGTATGGGCACAGGGAACATTCCGGCATATTCTTTTGGCGGCTAATAGTTATTATAAAAAAATGGGTAAAAAGCCTAAAGAAAGAAAAGTTCTAATGTCTCAATTGAGAAACTATCGATATCACAATCCACCATTTGATGTATCCTTCAACAATAGTGAATCTTCTTTAATCTGGTGGATGGCATTAGAGGATAATTTTTTAAAAGATGAAGATCATATCTGTTAATTAGCCCATAAGCTATTTTCTGTGACACCATATGCGGCTGAATGCGAAAGAATTTGGTCCACCTTAGGGTGGTATTATGGTAAACGTCGTACACGCCTTTCTTTAGGCAAAGTTGAAAATATGCAAAAGCTTTCTACTTTTTATCTTGCAAATTCGAAGAAGGAATTGCCTTATTTTTCTTCTAATATTGAAAATTTGTATGAAGCATTATTGAATATAAATTTTTATGAAGATGATTATGACTATGATGAAGAGCCTCATAATGAAGAAAGACTAGCGAATGAAGGAAGACTAGCGAATGAAGAAAGACTCGCGAATGAAGAAAGACTAGCAAATAAAAGAAGACTTACAAATGAAGAAAGACTAGTGAATGAAGATCTTATTAATGAAGGAATGGATGATATTTTTGTGCCGCCAGAAGAAGAAATTCTTAAAATTGAGGAATTATTGAATCTCGATGCGGCTGATTTTACAAATGATTTAGGTGAAATAATCATTGATACTAATTTTGAATTTTCTGATGAGGCGAATATTTTTGTTCAGGATAATACAGAAAATGATGAGGAGGATTGGGATCCTGAAAAGGAGGTTGATGCATTGTTAAACTAAAATAGTTTAGTAAAATTATTAAATAATCAGGATTAATAAAAGTGGCGCTCAATTTATAAATACAATTTAAATAATTAATTTTAAGGCTTATTTATGAATATTAAAAATATCATTCTCATGCAAATAAATTATAATATTATCCAAAATCAATTTTTATTAAAGATATGTTCAATTTATCGAATATAATAAATATATATGTATAAGAGCCGCCGAACAAACGATAGCCCTGCTTACTATTTTTGGCTCGCATAAAATTAATAAGAGCATGTAATAATTGGCTCCGAAATCTTGGTAAACCGTGAACTTGTTCCCTGACAAAAGAATGCTTTTTCCTCGAAGGGAAAGCCTGTCATCGGACTTTCAATTATATTTTGTACCGGGCAAAATCTATTTAGTTTCTTAGGAAATATGCCCGGTACAAAATATAATTGAAAGCCTGATAACAGGTTTTCCCTTGGCAGCACTCATATATGTGTAAATATATAGTTGGCTTTCAATATAGCGAAGTAACCATCTGTGTTCAAGTTTGATTCGCTAAAGCTGTTAGATTAATAAAAAAAAAAAACCTAATTAGTACAATGCGATTAATAATATTTAAATAAGAAATAAAGTTTCTTTTAATTTATTAATAGAACTCTAGAGATGAGATCTGTCTATCCGTTCAGAGCTTATCCAGATATTCAAATAAACCAGATAAAAAAAAATTATCGTGCAGTTACTTTCGACCGTGGATTCCAAATAAGAACTCAGTTTGCCAGTGTTATATAAAGCACATTATCAAATAGCTGGATCCCGGTTTAATTAGATAACGCAATATTAATTACAAACATGGTTAATTCGTCATAGTAAAAATTTGTATATTCACTTCCGGTTTTAATCCAGTAATCTGGAATCACTTATCGTTATCAATTGCTTTAAATATAATATCGGACTTATATTAGTTTTATCGGAATATCAGATTATTATCGGATTTATTTCGGACTTTCGGAATTTAGGATTATTATTTCGGAATACTTATTAAAATCCGAAATATTTCGGAAATAGAAATATAATTTAGCCCAAATTATTATCATGAAGTATCTTTAATTTAATTTTCCATTCAAACTTAAAGATATCGGAAAGATTTTTGCTTAATGAACCATATTTTGCGTAACTCGTTACTAAAATATAATCGTCCGTTTTTTCGTCTCTTGATA